GTGATTCAGGATCTAACTATCAGCCTAGGACAGGCAGGAAAAAGTTTACTCTATCTTGTGGGAGGCCTCCACAGCAGCCTGCTAACCTCTAATCAGAAATCCCCTTTTTACAATGCCTTCCAGTTTTGGCTAAAAGCCACTTTACAGTCCTGTCTGCAGCAAAAATGGTGACCAGTTAAAGTTTTCCTGCTCAGTAGCCATGTAGCCCTAGACTTAGAAAAGGAATCCTGACTCCCTCCTCTATTTCTTTTTCTTTAAATTATAGGTTGCTGATCGGTTGCCTAGCTATCACCTCAGTGACCCAAGGATAAAGCAAACAGGGGAACTCCACATCCTGTCCCAGGTCCTGGACAGGGCCAAAGGTCCTGGAGCCTTGCCAAAGCAGAGAGAGACTTTGGCAATGGGACCCTTGAAGACCTTAACACTAACTGGAAATATCTGGTGCACAGTAAGCCCTTGAGTACTTGTTAATTTTTATGAGAATATTCTACAAGCATAGGCAGGCAGTGAGGAACACAAGGAAGAAACAACCACCTTAATACAGAAAAAGAACTGCCCCAAAGGATCAAGTTTGTTTTCCAGTTAACGGCTGCTGTGTGGCCACAGTCCACCGTGAGAACACACGTAAAGTAAGACAACCCTCAAGTATGTAAAACAAAGCACCTGCTTGGCATCAAAAGCACTTGGATCAATTACCAGAAGACACTGCTGAAGTGCTTCTTGATGAGGGAACTTGGTGACGACCTTAGGCTGCCTGTGATGCAGAATGTGAGGGATGAAAAGCATGTCTACATTGGGCTTGAGCATGGAATCTCGGCAAAGAGCGATGGAGTGAACACTGCTGTGTTGGAAAGGTATATACGCTGTGTACTCAGGAAGAACCCAGGCTAGAGGCCACGCACCACAAGTGATAACAAGAGTGAGCAGAGCAAATGGTCACAAAAATAACATTGGGGAATGTCAAGGTTTTACCAACAGGATCTTTTTTTTTTTTTTTAGTTTAGTTTTTTGAGGTAGGGTTTCTTCTCTGTGTAATCTTGGCTGTCCTGGACTTGCTTTGTAGACCAGGCTGGCCTCGAACTCACAGAGATCTGCCTGCTGGGTTGCAGGTGTGCACCACTGTGCCCGGCAAGAAATCATGTTTTAAATAACAATATATATTTACTCATTCTCAGACAAAAATATTCATTATCCTCACTTAGGTTTTTCTTTTTGTTCTGTGCAGCAAAATAAAAACAATAATTATAAAAAACAATTATACAGTAAGAGTTTTTAAAGTGGAATTCATTCTGTTTGAGTGCGATTATATTTGACAGGATAAACAGTAATATTAAATACAAAGGCAAATTATGAGTCAAGAAACCAAACCTGTGCAGATAATTTTTTAGCCTTGTTGACTCCTACCATTTTCAGAGATAATAAAAAGTAGTCAATTTTAATGAAAATAAAGAGAAAAGAAAGATAAAATATAATTTATAAGGTATAATGAGAAAAACTGAATAATATAGATTTTCAATATTAAAGAATTTTCTCCTTCCTTCTTGTGAAGGTATACTGTGATAAAACAGAACAGTTTTTTTTTTTTTTTTCCTGGCAACAATATACAACCACGAAAAAAGCCAAACTAAATACATTTTTAGTTTTCTTTACATGACAGATATTGGTAACTATTTTGTTTTCTCCCTAACTTTTTGAAGGATTTATCATTTGAAATGAAGGGTCTATATGACCACAGACAAAAGGAATATGAAAAATAGTGAATAAACATGTATAAATGCATTTTATTCTCCAAGAAAACACCTATCCTGTCAATTATGAACTAAGCCTAGAGAGACACAAAGAGGAGAAAAAAAATCACTGAATCTTATGAGTTTTTTTTCTTTTCTCATTATCCCTGACTTACTGTAGGATGAATTCAGCTCTAGCCTTAAGAGAATTCCAAGTGCCATCCTGCGTCCTTGTGCACAAAGCTGAAACCTTGCGCTCTGCACCGCCAAGTTCTACTGAAGACAATATGAACAGTTACGTCCTCTACTTAAATGTCCTCCCTGTTGCCGCGCGTTCGGTATGGAACAAGTCCCGCTCTGCCGGCCTTCACAGCCCTCAGTGGAGACTTACAGCAGGCTGCGGAATGGCGCACGCTGCTGTTACTGCTCCTTCCAGAGCTGCCTGTTCTAATGCCCCCTCCATCACTCTGCCTCTACACATGAAGTAACAGTAGGTTGCACTCCAAATAAGACCAGCATTCCCCCACATTAAAACACCATCAGCCTCACTCTGATAACGGCTAAAAGACTAATTCCAAGAAAAAATATTTAGTCAGGGTTTATTAACCGCAAGTCCCCAAAGGTCTGCGAGGCTAAGCCTGACTTTGTTTATTTCCGCTCCTAACAGAGGCGCGAGCCTCCCTCATCTCCTCCCGTGGCAATCACTGGGCATCCCACCGCAGGGCTGTGTCACGGTCAGCACGCCCTCCTGAAGCAGCTTTTTCTCTTCACGCGTCCTGCCACCCTCCAAGAGCCTTACAGGCCACTTCCTACACTTTCTCCTCACAGCTGATGGCTCTTCCTGTCTGTATCTTTAGAAAGGAACTCTCGAGGCTTTTACTTTCTTCGTCTGGATTCCAAGGTTGATCGTGCTCAGTCTGTATACCACAAATGTGAAGATGAGTATCAAATGTTCAGACTTTACCCGCGAATTAAGTTACTTCTTATACTTTTCTGGGCAACATGACCACTTAATTGTCTCATCAGCTAACTATGCAAGAGGACCCTCAGGTTATTCACTTGCAGAACGTGTTCTTTGTCTCCCAGGTTCCTACTCTCTTCAGCAAGTGGAATCACTGTTATTTAAGCCAGTAATAGAACATTTTTATAAAAAGTTATTTTCCTGTTTTCGTCCTTTATATCAAATTTCTTATAGACCAAAGTCAGACGTACCTTCATTATGTAGACTGGATCAACCAATAATGCTCACCTCCACAACTACTGCCGGAACTCAAGCCAAGAGCGCCTTTTAGTCCTCATTTATTATGTTCACTTTGCATCCTTGTAGCCCCAACTCTCCTCACCTCCCAGTCCCACCCCCTCTCCCTTCCTCCTTCCCTTTCCTCAGACCGGGGAGCTCTCCTTCCCTTTCCACCCCAGCTCATCAAGTGGCATCAGGACTGAGCATGTCCTCTTCCCCTGGCAAGGCAGTCCCACCAGGGGAAAGTGACCTAAAAGCTGGCAAACGAGTCCATGTCCGACGCAGTCCCCACTTCCCTTACTAGAGGACACACTTAAAGCCTAAGCTGCCATCTGCTACATCTCTGTAGGGGGCTGAGATCCAGTTTATACATGCTCCTTGGTTGATGCTTCAGTCTCAGCAAACCCCTCTGGCCCTGGTTAGTTGGCTCTGTTGTTTTTCTTAAGGAGTTCCTGTCACCTCTGTGTCCAGCTCTCTCTCCTCCCACTATTACCAAAGACTCCCAAGGCATTGACCAATGTTTGGCTGTGAGGCTCAGCATGTGTTTTGAGTTGCTGCTGGGTAGAGTCTCTCAGAGGACAGCTCTGTCAGGCTCAGTATCAAGGGTTGGCACTCTCCAATAGGGTAGGTCTTTGGTTGGGCCAGGTATCAGCTGGGCATTCCCTCAATCTCTGCACTATCTCACTATCTGCTCTGTCTTTATCCCTGCACATCTCGTAGGCAAGGTAAATTTGGGATTGAGGTATTTGTGGGTAGGTTGGTGTTCCCCTCCCTCTGCTAGGAGACTAGTCTAGTTAGAGGATGTTCTCTTCAGTCTTTTTGGTCTCTGCTACTAGGAGTCTCTGCTTGAGTCACCCTCATATCCTCTCAGGAACCTACCCTGACTTACGTCTCCAACTTGTTACAGAGATAACCCCACCCTCATTTCTCTTTTCTCTACAAGCCTTCTGTCCTTCACCCTTGCCCTCCTCATGTCTGATTTCCACTGTGTCCCCTCTCCTGCCTTGTTCCCTCTCTTCAGCCACTACCTCCGTCTATTTTATCTCCTGTTCTGAGTGAGATCCATGCATCTCATTTGGGTCCTCTGTATCACTTATCTTTTTTGGGTCTGTGACTTGTAGTCTGTTTATCCTGTACTACTTGCTAAAATCCACTTATAAGTAAGTATATACCATATGCATCTTTCTGGGTCTGGGTTACCTCACTCAGGATAATCTTTTCTAGCTCCATTCATTTGTTTACAAATTTCATGATTTGTTTTTTTAATTAAAATTTTATTTTTATAATAATTACAGTTTATTCACTTTGTATCCCAGCTATAGCTCCATCCTTCATTCCCTCTCAATCCTACCTTCCCTCCCTCTTCTCCTCCCATGCCCCTCTCCAATTCCACTGATGGGGGAGGTCCTCTTCCACTTTCATCTGACCCTAGCCTATGAAGTCTCATCAGGACTGACTGCATTGTCGTACTCTGTGGCCTGTCAAGGCTACCACCCCCTCGGGGGGGGGGGGGGGGCATCAAAGAGGGAAAGTGATCAAGGAGCCAGCAGCTGAATTCATGTCAGAGACAGTCCCTGTTCTCCTTACTAGGGTACCCACTTGGATACTGAGCTGCCATAGGCTACATCTAAGCAGGGGTTCTAGGTTATCTCCATGCATGGTCCTTGGTTGGAGTGTCAGTCTCAAGAAAGACCCCTGTGCCCAGATATTTTGTTTATGTTGCTCTCTTTGTGGAGCTCCTGTTTCCTCCAGGTCTTACTATCAACACTTCTTTCATAAGATTCCCTGCACTCTGCACAAAGTTTGGTTATGAGTCTCAGCATCTGCTTTGATACCCTGCAGGGTAGAGTCTTTCAGAGTCCCTCTGTGGTAGGCCCCTGTCCTGTTTCCTGTTTTCTCCCTCTTCCAATGTCCATCCCATTTGTCTTTCTGAGTGAGGATTGATCATCTTACCCAGCGTCCTCCTTCTTGCTTGGCTTCTTAAGTGTACAGTAAGTGTATAGTATGTTTATCCTATATTATAGGTCTAGTATCTGTCAGGAGGTTAATCCTTACCTGTTCCTCCTCTAGGAGGGCAGATAGAAAATGATGATCTGAGCACACATGATCTGCTGATTTCTTTGTTTTTTGATAGCTGAGTAGTATTCTATTGTGTAAATGTGCAACAGTTTCTGTATCCATTCTTCAGTTAAAAGACATCCGGGTTGTTTCCAGATTCTGGCTATTACAGATAAAGCTGCTATGAACCTAGTTGAGCAAACATCCTTGTTGTATGGCAGAGCACCTTTTGGGTCTATGCTCAGGAGCAGTATAACTGGGTCTTGAGGTAAAGTTATTCCAAATTTTCTAAGAAAGTGCCAGATTAATTTCCAAAGTGGTTATACAAGTTTGCATTCCCACCAGCAATGGAGAAGGGTTCCTCTTTCTCCACATCCTCTCCAGCATGTGTTGTCATTTGAGATTTTGATCTTAGCCATTCTGATGGGTGTAAGGTGAAATCTCAGGATCATTTTAATTTGCATTTCCATGATGACTAAGGAAGTTGAGAATTTCTTTAAGTGCTTCTCCACCATTCAAAATTCCTCTGTTGAGAATTCTCTGTTTAGTTCTGTGCCCAGCTCTCTATTTGGGTTATTTTGTTCATTGGTATTTGATTTCTGAAGTTCATTATATACTTTGGATATTAGCCTTTTGACGGATGTAGGGTTGGTGAAGTTCTTTTCCCAGTCTAAAGGCTGTCATTTTGTTCTGTTTACAGTGTCCTTTGCTTTACAGAAGTTTTCCAGTTTCACGAAGTCCCATTTATTGATTATTGATCTTAGAGCCTGAGCTGTAGGTGTTCTGTTTCAGAAGTTGTCTCCTGTGCCAATGAGTTCAAGGCTCTTCCCTACTTTTTCTTCTAACAAGTTTAGTGTCTTGTGTCATTTTGAGGTCTTTGATCCACTTGGATTTGAGTTTTGTGCAGGGAGATAAATATGGATTTATTTGCATTTTTCTACATACAGACATCCAGTTAGATTAGCACCATTTGTTAAAGATACTGTCTTTTCTCCATTGTATGGTTTTGGCACCTTTGTCAAAGATCAAGTGATCATAGGTATGTGAGTTTATTTCTGGGCGTTCAATTCAATTGCATTGATGAACCAGTCTATTTCTATGGCTGTACCATGCAGTTTTTAATTCAAGCTCTGTAGTACAGCTTGATGTCTTCTTCACTTCCTTTCTTCAGAGACTTGAAGTTCTTGTCATACAGGTCTTTTGTTTCCTTGGTTAGAGTCACACAAAGATACTTTATATTATTTGTTCTATTGTGAAGGGTGTAGGCTAATTTTTATCTTAATCTGTTTGTCATTTCTGTACAGAGGGGCTACTGATTTTCCTAAATTAATGATGTATCCAACCACTTTGCTGAAGCTGTTTATCAGCTGTGGGAATTCTCTGGTAGAATTTTTGGGGTCGCGTACGTACACTGTCATATCACCTGCAAATGGCAATACGTTGACATCTTCCTTCCCCAAAACAACAGGATCCCGTTACTCTCTCCCTACTTCCATCTGTTCCTGCGTGCCCTTACCATGCCCAGTCTGTTGGCTTCAGCTCCTTGTTGTTTCATGTATTTAACTTTCAAAAGTAGACAAACCTATTAAACTTATCAAACTTCTTCTGAGTGTGTTCTAAGAGAAGAGAAATAAATTTCTTATTTTTATTTTGGTTTTCTGTGCACAGTGTCTCATTTGTTTGTATGTCACCTCCATGCCTAGTACTGGAAGAAGCCATGATAGGATATCAGATCCATTATAACTAGAGTTACAGTTCTGAGCCATCATGTCGGTATTGAAAATGGAACTCTGGTCCCCTGAAAGAGCAGCCAGTGCTCTTAATTTCTTGAGCCATCATTTCAGCCCCAGAAACAAATGTCTTGTAACTTCCTCACTTACCAAGTACATTCCACAGTCTTTTTCATTTTTAAAAAAATGTTTTGGTAGTGTCTGTGATCTCTTAGGTTTGTAAAATAATTTTCTTTCCTTGGTTTTCATTCCTTCTTCCTTCCCTTCTCTGTTCTTAATATACATATTAACTCCTAAACCTTACCCTTATCTCTTCCTTAAAGCTTTCTTACTCTTCAATACTGAGAAATACCATGTCCTCTCTACTTCACCAACCACTAATGCTTCATGGAATTCTTTTCTTCTTGCCAAAATCTTTTCTACTTGCTTAACACATCAGCTTAATTGAATCCATTGGATGAACTACCATCTATTGTAAAACTAAAGAGTACTTAAAGGTACTGGTTGATGGTGGTGCCCGCCTCTAATCCCAGCATTCAGAAGGCAGAGGCCGATGGGTCTGTGAGTTCTCGGCAAGCCTGGTCAACAAAGTGAGTGTCAGGACAGCCAGGGCCATGCAGAGAAACCCTTTCCAAAAGAAAAAAGTACTTAAAGCTCAGAACAACTTTAGGATTAAAGAATGTGTTTAATTGTGGTTAATGTATGCCACAGTCTTCTATCTTATAATTATATTACCAATGTTTTTATGTAGGTATATATTTTCAAATAATGCACATTACAAAAAGGAATATATTTTTATCTCCATACAGCTTTGACAAATGTATGCCCTGTCTCGGGCTGGTTGATGTTAATTGATCTCCATCTCTCTCTAAGGAGGGCTTCCTCAAATGCCCCATTTCCAACCAGTGATTTTTCCATGTTACTGCTTCTTACAACTCCCCACATCTTCCCATTTTGTCCAGACTGTTATCTCCCATAAATCACACTCCTTCAGCACAATTATAATTGGACTCTAGGCTCCAAACACTTCTCTTTATTTTTGATTTTCCTTACTATTGATAGATTAGTCTTCCTAAAAGTCCTACATCACACTTTTTGTCGTGCTGTCTCTCTGTTCAAAACTTTATAACAGAAAAAAAAAATCAGAAAGATATAAATAGATTGTTAGGGGAACAAATTTTGGAGGAAGGTTTTTGGTTTTTGTATTTATTTTTATATCTTAAGTTATATCACAATTATATAATAATTATTTCATAATTGCCATTTGTAATTAGTATGATAAAATTAATCATAATTAAAGTGACCTCTATAACATGATTTTAACATTTCATATGCTACTTAATCCACTACCCTATTAATTAGAATTTCTGCATTTTCTATATTTTCCCTAATTGTATACTGTTAAAATTATACTCCTGTAGTATTTTAAACATAAATTCCAGTTTTTCTTAACTTCTTGAATATATGAATAATAATTAATTATATTTTCTATAAAATCTTGCTTCTTATGAGAAGAGAAAAAATGACTTTTCTCTCATTAATGTTTTCCAATAAACTTTCTGGCTGAATTTTTCCCTCATGTTAAATAAAAACATCCTCTTAACAACAGGGCCCTTTTCCTTTGCAGTAGGGATCACAATCGCTTAGAAACACAAAATAAGCCTCATGTCTCCATCAGAGCAACAAGGAAATGGTCCACAGCTATATTCTTGTGGAATAATTTTTACTTTGCTTTAAAAGGAAAAGTAGAGATGTGGTGGCCACTGAAGACATTGCAGAAAACCCCACTTTTGCAGCGCTTTGATCTAGTACTGAGAGCTTAGTGTAACTGTGACACCCATCAAGGCTATTCACTAGGCGGGTAGAAGCTGACGGTCTTCTCTGATCCAGATGAACCACTGGGCGCTGCTCCCAACTTGACTTCAAGGTACAAGAATGTGAGCAGCTCTGTAAAAGTCCCTCTGCTCAGCTTCATTTTTATGTGCAACACTCAGAGGTCCACATTTGCTTGAATTCCTATCATTGTGAGGACTAAATAAGAAAAATTCATGAGCGACACCATTAATGATTTTTTAATGAAAGAGTAAATCGCTGTGTCACTGAGTACATGAAATGAGCCAGCTTAACCACAGAGTAAGCAAAACAGAAATAAAAATCTTGTAAACACATACATAATTTGGACATCATTCCTCTTTTCCCTTCTTCACAAATGACAAGATGAAAATGGATCAAAGAAAACAAATGAATATATCCAGATTCTTGGGCAGATTAGCTGATATTTTTACTACATGTTTGATCCAAATTTCACTGCAGTAAGCAATTCAGGCAAAGATTTGATTACTCTATTTATCATTGGATGGTCTCTACAAAAGCTGAAAATTATACCCTCCCTAAATCTTATGATAGCTGGCAGTAAGCACAGAAATGCCGGCCAAAAGTTTACTTACATAACGCTGGTAAATTTCCAAAACATAACCAATAGCTCTTCTGGATTCTGCTTCCCACCGCGGCTGATGACACAGAGAGGTGGTGATGTGGTCTCACCTCTCAGCTTCCAGTTGCTGCTTCTCTGTTTTCCCAGTAAACCACACAGTCACCCATAGATACAGACATCTCTTTGCGACATAATTGCTGAGCACGGGCATGTGCTCAGCTGAGGGAGTGAGACTTCAGCACAGTGGGCACACACTAGTGACTGAGAAAGTTATCACTAAAATATCTTAAAGGGTAAAGTAGAGGAAATTATTTTATGTTTAAAAGTTAGACACAATAAATAATGGATATGTATAGTAAGATAAAGAAAATTTCTATCTTTTTCTCTTTCCTTCCATATTGACAATGGACTGAAGTAGAAAACTCCTAAAAGTCCCCCATTTAGAAAGGCTAAAAGGATGGACACCAGAAGAGGGAGAAAACAGGGAACAGAACAGGAGCCTGCCACAGAGGCCTCTGAAAGACTCTACCCTGCAGGGTATCAAAGCAGATGCTGAGACTCATGGGCAACCTTTGGGCAGAGTGCAGGGACTCTAATGAAAGAAGTGGGAAATAGTAAGACCTGGAGAGGACAAGAGCTCCACAAGGAGAGCAACAGAACCAAAAAATCTGGGCACAGGGGTCTTTTCCAAGACTTATATTCTAACCAAGGACCATTCGTGGAAATAACCTAGAACCCCTGCACAGATGTAGCCCACAGCAGTTCAGTGTCCAAGTGGGTTCCATAGTAATGGGAACAGGGACTGTCTCTGACATGAACTCAGTGGCTGGCTCTTTGATCACCTCCCCCTGAGAGGGGAGCAGCCTCATTAGGCCACAGAGGAAGACAATGCAGCCACTCCTGATGAGACCTGATAG